CTTGCTTGGACCCTTTATTGTATTTCTTTCCTAGAAAGAAGAATTCATGTAGGAGTTTTTACAATGAGAAACTGCAAGCACTACTACTAGTCCATGAAAAGTTATGCATTTTTTAATGTCTACTACCTGGCCAGTTTGAAACAACCAAGGCAGGAAGCTAGAGGTACTTTTTGAGAATTATTGCTACGTGCAAACTATGTTAATTAACATAATTTGTCATCAAATTCTCTAGCCTGCTTTTTTTTTTTTAGTCTCAGTGGATGAGTGATGGTAAAAAGCAAAAAAAATATATATATAATAATTATAAGCAAAAAATTCTATGCCCAAATTTCACTTATGTTTTTCTTTATAGAATTAATCAGACTGAAAGAATCATCAGAGATTTTCTCAGACATTTCAAGAGCCTTTTGTTCTTGTAAATATTAGTTTCAGCTTTGTTTCTTTCATCTAAATCTTACACAGTTCTCATTCACCATCTCCTCCAGGCTCCAGATGCATCAGTATTTGCCATTAAACCTCGAAATTGGTTATGTTGAGCAACCATTTCAATGCAGTTATCATGTGAACAACTCAACCACTTCAAAAGGTCCTTTTTTCTTTTTGGTTTTTTAACTCTTCATTCTTAGATCTGAGTTTTGTCATTTCTCGTGCAGATGAATCTTGAAGAAAGCTTACTTCTTTTACATCTATGGATACATTTTATATTTGATCAATGCAGATGATAACCAACAGTAATGGATGGGAGAAGCTTGTCGACACTAATTCTGACATAGATCAGGAGGGTAAACAGGCGTGTAGGATGTCTCCTTCAATGGGGACAGTTCATGGCAACTTCTTTTCAACTTCCCTTATCTGCACCGAAGAAATTATTGTGACACACATTTCTACCACACAAATAAATTTCGTAATGCCTTTTTGATTTTGTTATCTTGATATTCTTCACTTGGGATCTTATATTTTCTTTTATGCAAATGTCATACGTTAAGGAGGTATGTAAAGTCTGTAATTTTTTTTTAAATGGAAGTGGTATGACTTAGGCCTAGAGATTGAACTGGAATTTGGTTGTGTCGTTATTACTCTCAGTTGTTGCTCGGAATCCATTTTTCCCAAAATAAAAATAAACCCCTTCCCTTCATGCAGAGTGATTTGGGTGTATACAATTCACAAATGAAACTATTATTTCTACTTGGGCGTCGGCCAAACCTAGGTATCAGGCTCATTTAGCCCCACTTAAACCCAGCACATAGACTGTCTCTGGCCTGCCAACCCAACTCAGGGCGCATACTCTCGGCCTACCCTTGGTAGCATGATTTTGGTCTCGGCTCGGCCTTGGAACATGATTCTCTTCTCTCAGTCTTGGATGTGTATTCTTTAGCCGGAGCTGACAGAACACTGAAAGAAAGAATTGCTACAAGAATTGACATTTTCGGGGAGAGTTCAAGCACAGATGGACAGGATCATGTTTCAGAAACTGGAGGGAATCCTTTTGCCAACCCTGCCTTGAATTCGATGAAGGACTATCTCAGTTCTCTATAACATCAAATTGTTAATATCTCAATTAATTTTAGGTTTGATCTATTACGTGCATCTTAAGAGTACTTACGTGATCATGATGAGAGCATCCATTGATCTCCTACCATGGTCAACAATGGAAGTCAAGGAAAAGTTTCAATTTTTTTACAGTATGTGAATTGTTACGAGCACATTGTGAGTCGAAGTTGAAATCAAAAATCAAAGCTTCTCATTTTCGGTATTTAAAAAAAAAAAATTACAAAGAATAAGTTAATTATTTTAACTTATTTAAAATATTTCGATCGAAAAAATATAAATAGAATATTATTTTTATTAAGTAAAATAAAAAAATTTGTTGAAATTTATTTTTTCATAATAATTTTATCAAGGTATTAATAAGTTAAAATTTTAATTTTATATATTTAATAAAATTTAAATTTATAATTTTTAAATAAAAAATAAAATTTTTTAATTTTTATATTTTTATGGTACCTAAATACACCATACTTTATGAACTTTCATAAAAAATAAAAATAATTTTTTTTAAAAAATAATTTTATATTTAATGACGTAGATTGATTTAACATAAAAATCACAATTATCTATAAGAAATGTAGGTAGAAGCTTCTAGAAAAAAAGTAAAAGTATATAAACAAAGGGGAAACTGCTACTTTTATCAAACGTGGAAAGTAACATGTTATGCTTTATCTGGATTTGAACACGTGGCTGAATCAAATTGCACGAGCGACATTGTTTCCGTGCGAGCGGATCTCACTTCTTGTCAATAATTATTTCCTATTCCCAATCTTTTTATTATTATTAATTTTTAAAACTAATCACTATTTATCTTTTAAAATAAATATATAAAATAGTTTTTATTTAACTGCACAAAATTAATTTTTTATTGTTCTGGTTGGATTAGCGCCGACTTCTAACAATTATAACTCCCTCTCGTCTGCAATTCAATCCACGAATCCAAACAAAACCGAACCCTTATCTGCAATTCCCAGTTTGTCGCAGAACTCGTTCTGGCCGCCGGTGAAAGTGACCGCGACAAGGATCTGGACATCGATGTCTTCCGGGCTCGGCGACAGTTGCGTCTGTGATGATGATATTCGAGGAGTCGGATAAATTGTCGGCCGAGTTTAAACTCTTGGATGAGTAGATAAAGGCAGCCTTTCGTTAGAGCCGACATTTTTAGTCTTACAGGTGACTGATGGAGAAAACTTGTTTGGAGAAGCAGAAAGCGCAGGAAAATCTTTGTATTAGTTTCGGCAGACTTTCTTGTTGTGGTGAGAAAATTTTGGCTTTCTTCTTCTAGCCGTCAGTTTCACACGAATGGAGAGAAAAGTAAGGCTGTAGAAGTAAACGGTCGCGCACTAACTTCAAATAAGGCTAATGTTTTTAATTATATATTGAAAAATTGTTATTATTATATATTTATATAATAATTATGTGCTAAATTTAGATTTTTAAAATTATTCCTGCTTTTTAAATATAAAAATTAAGAACTTCTCAAAGTTACAATTAACAATTTTTTACATAAAAAAAAAGTACTCCACTTCAGCGTCGCTTACGCGTTATTGTTACTTCTCTTTTTTTTCAAAAAAAAAATGGCATGGCAATCTTACATTCCATGCATCATCTCTCTGTCAACTCCACTCAAGATGGATCAAGAACGACCCGATCTACCCACCTGGAAAGAAGGAGGAAAAAGAACAGCTGAAAAGCAGCGGGTCAGATTTTGAGATTCTTCTTTTCTGCCATGGAAATTTCTCCCTTGGAAAAAGGCGAGCTTGACAGACGATTAAGTACTTTTTTGTCTTTATACTTCCACTAGTTTCGGTTGTTGGTAAATGTCTATATGTGTGTGTGTGTGTGTGTGTCTATGTATTAAGTTATACATAGTGTGTGAACGATCCATCTTCTTCTTATTTCTTCTTCGTTTACCTCATCAACCATCTCAATCATATTTACTAAAACCGCACTTCCATACTTCGCCCGGTGGCAAAAATCACGCGGTAAAGTTTCTTAAGTAGGTCTTGTTATGAGATTAATTTATTTAAACTTTGCCCAAGAGAAAACCTTTTCCTATATATCATGGATCACCCTACTCCTATGTATACGACGTGTGCGTATGTGTACATATGTATATGTCTATACTGCAGACTTCTTTTTAGTTCGTTTGCCTGAACTGATAATGACCATAAACCAGGCGGATTCTCTAATGCACAAGATTTGAGATTTGAATATCAGCATTTATACGTAATTTCATGACGTCTGTGTTCGGGGCGGGGGCGGGGGGAGAGAGAGAGAGAGAGAGAGAGAGAGAGAGAAGATAAAGTTTTAGCTTTCTGGGAAAAAGTATAATGCAAGAAAAAAAAAAGGCGGAAATAGGCAATTAATAAAACTCAAAGCTTACACAGTAACATAAACAGAAGATTCTATACGTATATGATTATTATCTGGGTGCATGGCTTTAATGATTTGAACAGATTTCACTTAACGATTATCATCTACTCTTGTCTTGAGTGGAAACTTAGAACTGTCTGAAAACTAAAATAACAGCTAAGGAAATAACCAAAGCAGCCCAAGAGAAACACTTAAGCCAGAGAGGAAAGGGAATAGTAATGGCGATGAAAAACGCCGTGACGACAAACAAAGTGCCAGTTGAGTGGAGAACTCGAGTTGCCGAAACGAACTTGGGATTGATATATTTGCCGACGAAGAGAGAAAGAAAGGCAGAAACAATTGCTAGAGAAAGCAGGTTGAAGACGAGAGGGAGCTGCGAGTGGCCGAGCTGTGCATACAAGACAGCTATTTCAACAGACGAACCCAGACAAAATGCAAACATAATCTTCAATTCCCAGCCACTAAAACTGCTCGTGGGTGGTGAAGGTGGGTTTGTGGGAGAAATTCCTGCGGCGGCCAACTCAAGATCGACGAAGCCATCGTTTGATGATAACTGCATCAGCGATGTTGATTGTGATTCTTGATGAGTTTTCAATTGCGGATAAAATAGTGATAATGATGCTTTAAAACTCTTTGCTGCTTTGTCCATTAGAGTTGCAGATAGAAACCATTTGCCTCTCCCAGATGCCATTGATGAATTAATTTCTCCTCGTTGCACTTTTATGTATTGTGTCCCGTGCTCTTGCTCAGAATCTTTGTAATTTATAGGAAGACGTTGGTCAGAGAAAGTAAGCTTCTTACAAAGTTTCCATGAGATAGCAAGTTTCTACAGTTGGTCGGTCAGCGTCTACTACGTGTATTTAAAAGTTGCACGCTTGCGTAAAAAGTTTCTACCAATAAGACAACGAAGGTCAAGGATTACAGAAACCTCTTTAGGGTTGTAAAAATTCTTTATAAACTTCAAAAATTTCCAGCAAATTTTGGCTTCTGGAGTCAATCAAAACGTAGTTTAACAAAAGTGAAGTAAATTTAATATAACAGGAAGAAAGTAACACAAAATGTCATTTTTTAATTGATGTAACTACAAATTTATGACTATGTAATTGAAATAAAATTTTTAATTAAAAATTATAATATATAATACCAATTGTTTAACAAAAATTTGTATATAATTAAATATTAATATATTTAATCATATAATCGGCCTGTGCTTAACAAAAACTGTCAATCTAATTTTGGTTTATTATGAATTTTGATGTGTTGAATCGTGGGGAAGAAATTCTTTATGCTATAATTAAATCATATATATATATACATATATCTATATAATTTTTGTTTCCGGAAAAGATTTTCATCTAATAAATGTATGTATTCTTATTTCTTATAAACTTATTGCTAAATGTTCTTAATAACATGTGGTGTATGTTTTTCTGTTGTCAAATGCTATGCCGCAGACAAGTTTGACTTTGTTGATTTTATTGACTAGTAAGATAAAAAGAATATATACATATATATATATATCTAAAACAGATTACATATATACTGTATCTAAAACAGATTATTAATGACGCCTGTACCTAAAAACACCTTAGAAAACTAATTATTAATAAGAAAAAAAAAAGGGTAGATTGGGTGTCGTCTACCCAGTATATATATATATATATCTATATGCTGGCATGTGTGTGTATGAACAGCGATCGTAGACTCGTGCCCTTCTGAGATTGTTTTCTTGGCATTCTTGCCACTGTATCAAACACCAAAACCGATCGAGCAACAAAATCAAGAACCTTGGAGCATAGGAATCAAGAAAACTAAACAGCAATACTGGAAAATGTTTGCTTATTGTTTTATTTTTAACTTCCTAAACAACACAATTAACAAAGCTTAATTACCATCAGGAAAGCCAAGAAAAAGCATCATGTTTCGGGATTCTTCAGGTTTCAGCTCCCTCAGAATCAAGCTGGAGTTTGTAATTAACAACAATATTCATCTTTAGGCTTCGCCTTATACATACACCTGTATATATACATACATAATTAAACAGACAAAAAACCCAGGAGACGATCTGTTTGGTTTTTGCTTTTTGACAATAGTCGATGGACGCACACTGCATGGTTTCTGTGTCTGCCAGGAAAAGAGAGAAAAAAAGAGAAAAAGAGAAGAGAGAGAGAGAGAGAGAGATAAGATGAGATTTTAGCTATCCGCGGAAAAGAATAATGCAATAAGCAACATGGGCACATATACATAGGTAACAAAAACTGAAGCCTACAGAGAAACATAGAAGATTCTCCATGTGTATTTAAAATGTATGTATAGATCCACAGAATTTTATTTGAACAGGTTTCATTTTTTTTAATGAAATGAAAAGATTTATTAATCGCAATCTATTCTTGTCTTCACTGCAAAGTTAGAACTGCCTGGAGACAAAAATAGCAGCCAAAGATATGGCGAAAGCAGCCCAAGAGACGCACTTGAGCCAGAGAGGAAATGGAATTGTAATGGCGATAAAAAACGCCATTACAACAAACAAAGCGCCAGCTAAACGGAGAACTCGAGATGCCAAAACGAACTTAGGATCAATGGATTTGTCGACGAAGAAAGAAAGAAATGCAAAAACAATTGCCAGAGACAGCAAGTTGAAGAGTAGAGGGAGCTCCGAGTGGCCGAGCTGTGCATACAAGAGAGCTATTTCAACGGACGAACTCAGACAAAAGGCAAACATAATCTTCAATTCCCAGCCACTAAAACTGGTAGTGGGTGGTGAAGGTGGGTCTGGGGGAGATATTCCGGCAGCAGCGAACTCAAGGTCGATGACGACGTCGTTTGATGGTAACTGTGGCTGCGATTCTTGATCAGTTTTCAATGAGGGATAAAATAGTGATAACGATGCTTTAAAACTCTTTGTTGCTTCCTCCATCAGACTTGCATATAGAAACCAGGCTCCCCCAAATGGCATGACTCCTTTAACTTTGATATGCTGTGGCGAGCGCTCTGAATGTCTTTGATTTATAGGGAGATGTTGAGCAGATGCCGGAAGTAAGGTTCATGGAAGTTTCCCATGTGACGGCGCCAGTTAGTCTTTCATTTTGTCGCCTTCACCGTCTCAGTCAATTTTACGTGTATAAAAAAAGTTTCCACACCTACTCGCTGGACCGGTTTAATAAGGTTTCATTTTTTCTTGCTCTTTTCACTTTTATAAATACAATAATAATAATAGCCTATCAAATAATCCAAAAAAAAATAATGAATTTATTATTTTTATAAAAATTTGTAATTTTTTTATTGTGTATATATTATTAAAGTAACAAAATTTATCAATTTTTACTGCTCAATATTAAAGGTAAATTTTAAACAGTGAAGAGTTTTTTTTTTTTTGAAATAATTCATTAAAATTTTCTGTAAAATAAAAAAAAATATATATATATATATATATTAGTTTTGTTTGGGACAAATTGCTGGTTTTATCTGGAGTCGGCGGACTTCGTCATCAATCGTAATCTGGTTTCTCGTGAAAGCGACTGAAGATGCGGATTGGTCGGTCAGCAAAGAAAATAAACAAAATATCATTTTCTGATAAGCCACGTCTACAGCTAAAAATGTTTGCCGTTACTTTTCTTTTAAGAAAATTACCAAATCTTGCAATGGGTAAATTATTAAAATCTCAAATTCAAATATTAAATTTATAATTTTATTTAATGTATTAAACTTGAATATTTAATTTATTAGTATGTTAATTAAACAATAAAATTATTTATAAAAAAAAGTTTTATAAATTGGCGTTTCATGTTTCCACAGAGGATATTAAAAATTATTTTGTACAATTTAACATGAGTAATTAATTTGCCGTTAATTAACTTTGGCGGCTGATTCTCCAGCTGTTCAGCAACCTCACATGGCTCTACTTACATTATACCTCCCATCTCACTCCACCTCCACCTCCACCTCCACCTCCACCTCCACCATCATCTCCAATCTCCCACCACAGTGCTCAATGGCCAGAACACAGACGCTCTACGGCTCACGCTTTTATTCTTCTTCGAGACAACATCAATGGCGAACCGTCGGATTCATTGCATGTCAAAGAAGCTTTGGGCATGTTGTTACAGGCTTGTGGCCAACAAACGGACATCGAAATCGGGAGAAAAGTTCACGAACTGGTTTCGATTTCGACCCAGTTTAGAAATGACTTTGTTCTTTATACCCGGGTTATCACCATGTGTTCTATGTGGGTTCTCCTTTGGATTCTCGCTCTGTTTTTGATAGTTTACAGAGGAAGAATCTGTTTCAGTGGAATGCGATTGTTAGTGGGTACACGCGAAATGAGCTTTATCACGATGCATTGGAGATGTTTGCGGAATTGCTTTCGAATGCCGAGTTTATACCTGATAATTTTACTTTGCCTTGTGTTATTAAGGCATGTGGGGGGATTTTGGATGTGCGGTTAGGACAGGTGGTTCATGGGATGGTGGTGAAGACGGGATTGATTGATGAATTGTTTGTGGGTAACGCGTTGATTTCGATGTATGGGAAATGTGTCTTGAAATGTAATTCAAAGTTTGAATGAGTCTTTTCTCTTATATGTTAGTTTTCTAGATTTGAGCAAGTTTCTTTTACAGTTGCAAATAAGGTAGCAGAGTAGTGGGATTAGTTGTGGGATTTTATGACGGTTTTTTTAGCTCTGTTTGTTTTATGTAAGCCTATATATAGAGGCTCTTTTTGCTTGTTTTACACAGACTGGAATCAGAAAAAAGGTTTACAGGTTCTGCTACGTTTGCTTTTACTGTTCTGGTTTTCTTTTGCTTTTATCTTTTTCCATCAAATCTGGTATCAAAGCCAGGCTCTGGTCCTTTAGGTAATTGAGTAAAAGATTTTGGGGAGTGTAGGGAAACACGAGAGAGAGTGCAGAGAATGGCAGCAAACGTTTTTTCATCATCCTCACAGCTGCTCATACCGATTTTCACAAGTGAAAAGTATGAGTTTTGAAGTATTAAGATGAAGACTCTTTTCAAGTCTCAAGATCTTTGGAATTTGGTCGAATATGGTTTATTGGATTTAGAGGACCCAGATGAAGAGGCAGAAGAAAGATTGAAAGAAACCAAAAAGAAGGATGTCAAAGCTTTATTCCTAACTCAACAAGCTGTCTATGAAACAATTTTCTCAAGAATTGCAACAGCAGCAACATCTTTGGAGGGCTGGCAAATTTTGAAGGAGTTCCAAGGCTCCTCGAAGGTAATCACGGTAAAGTTGCAAACATACCGTCGTGAATTTAAAACTCTGTCTATTAAAAATGATGAATATGTTCAAGCTTATTTGTCTAGAGTTTCTTCTCTAGTTAATCAAATGAAGTCGTATGGTGAAGTGATTTCTGAAGAAACGGTTGTTGCAAAAGTATTAAGAAGTCTTACTCCTAAATTTGAACATATTGTTGCTGCTATTAAGGAAGCCCATGATTTATCAAATTATTCATTTGATGAGCTAATGAGTTCCTTACAAGCTCATGAAGACAGATTGCTCAGGTCATATGAAAAGAATGAAGAAAAAGCCTTTCAGATGAAGGGGGAGATGCATGAAAATGCTGCTGGATGTGGCAATGGCAGAGGTGGCTTTCATGAAAGAGGTTGAAGAAAAGGTGCAAGCAGAAGCGCATATAATGAAGAGAGGCAAAGGAAGATCCTTAAATGTCACTACTGTAACAAATCAGGTCATAGAGAGGCTTATTGTTGAAAAAACAAAAAATGAGAACAACCAAGCAAGTTTTGCAGAGGAACCAGATGAAGAAAGCAAGTTGTTCATGGCTCTTTTTTGTGAGAGAAAGCAGTCTAACAATATTTGGTTTTTGGACAGCGGTTGTTCTAACCATATGGGTGGAACAAAATCATTATTTAAGAAACTTGATGTGTCCGATAAAACAGATGTGACACTAGGAGATAGCAAGAAAATTCGAGTTGAAGGCAAAGGTACCATAAGCATTAAAACTAGTCAAGGGAATGCTAAGATTTTACAAGATGTGATGCTTGCTCTTGATTTATCTCATAATCTGCTTAGGATTGGGCAATTAATGATTAGTGGATACTCAATTTTGTTTGACAATGATTGTTGCACTATTAGAGATAAGAAATCTGGGAAAATCACCGCTAAAGTTTCGATGGCTAAAAATAAAATGTTTCCGCTAGAAGTTTCAATGATTGAGAATTGTGCTATGGTTGCTAGTGGTGATAGTGAGATTCGATTGTGACATTTATGTTATGGGCACTTAAATATTAATGGGTTAAAATTGTTGAGTCAAAAGAAAATGGTTTTTGGTTTGCCAAAACTTGAGAATCTTGTTTTTTGTGAAGGTTGTGTTTATGAAAAACAGAGTAAAAAGTCTTTTGCCGTAAGAAAGGCCTGAAGAGCTTCTAATTGGCTTGAGTTAGTGCATGCAGACTTGTGTGAGCCTATAAATACAAAATCTCTTGGTGGTAGTCAATATTTTTTGCTGTTTACAGATGATTATAACCGCATGAGTTGGGTTTATTTTTTAGAAAGCAAGTCTGAAGCTTTTGACAGATTTAAGAAGTTTAAAGCATTTGTAGAAAGAAACAAAGGTTTTTTAATAAAAACATTGCGAATAGATAGAAGAGGTAAATTTGTTTTTACTGATTTTAATAATTTTTGTGAGGAAAATTGAATATGCAGGGAGCTTGCAGTGCCATACACACCACAACAAAACAGTATACTTGAAAGAAAGAATAGAACAATAGTGGAGATGGCCAGAAGTCTGATGCAAGCAAAAGTTCTTCCTATTTATTTTTGGGCAGAAGCTGTTGCAACAGCGGTGTATATTCTCAATTTGTCTCCTACAAAAACTGTTCGTAATCAAACACTTGTTGAGGCTTGGACAGGTAGAAAACCAACGGTAAGCCATTTAAAAGTTTTTGGTTGTATAACTTATGCTTTGGTTAAAACTCATTCTAGAAAATTTGATGAAAAATCTGAAAAGTATATTTTTGTTGGTTACTACTCAGAATCCAAAATATTTAAGCTCTATAACCCCACTAGCGGCAAGATCACCATTAGCAGAGATGTAGTTTTCAATGAAGATGCAAAATGGATTTGGAATGAAGAAAACAAAGAGCAGCATGTTCAAGTATTAGAAGATAATGTTGTTCATCGCTGAATTCAACACCAACAATTTTCAGCTCCGACACTCTTGGAAGTAGCAATTCATTTGTTCCTACAAGCAATGAATCATCATCTTCAAGTTCATCAAGTGAAACTCCTCCAAGGAAATATAGATCATTTCAAGAAATTTATAATTCTTGTACTTTTGCTCTGCTTGTCTCATATCCTATTCACTTTGAAGAAGCTGCAAAAAGCAAGGAATGGTATAAAGCTGTGGAAGAGGAGCTGTCAGCTATTAAGAAAAATCAAACCTGGAATTTAGTTGACTTACCGAAAGGAAAGAATGCTATTGGGCTCAAATGGGTGTTCAGAACTAAGTATCATGCAGATGGGAGCATCCAAAAACACAAGGCGAGGCTGGTTGTGAAAGGCTATTCTCAACAACAAGTTATCGACTTTTATGAAACCTTCTCTCCTGTTGCACGTTTTGAAACGGTGAGAATTTTTGTAACCTTAGCTGCTCAATTAAATTGACCAGTATACCAATTTGATGTTAAATTTGCTTTTTTAACTGGTGATTGGAAGAAGAA